ATAGTGACAGAAAGCCGACTAATACACAGGGGTGGGAGGTGCTCCCGGGTGCTGGTTTCCTCAACTGTAAAGTGAGAGAAAGGAGCAAAAGATCTAAAAGGTCTCTTTCAACTCTTGACTGGGGAGAAATTCTCTTCAGTCCTTCCCTCAATCTCTCTCAGCAATTGACCTCTCCTATTTGTCTTCTAACCCCCACCAACACCCATCTGATGCTCATCCTGATCCTTGTCCCGTGAGGTACCTGCTGCTTGGGACTGGCCCCTTAGAAAGGGGTCCACACTTCAGATATTCTGCAGGTGCCCTCAATTTGGATAGGAATGAGAGACAAGAGACACCAGACCATAAGCAATTCTGGTCTCTTGTGGCACTTCTGTGAACCCTGGTTCACTTGGCCGTGGCCAGGAGGAACAGGTGTTAATGGTAACCCTCCTGGAGTCCATTTTAGTGTAATGACTTAGAACAGCTAAAAGCCCAAAGAAATCTATTAGATCGATTTAGCCCGCAAATTCTTTATAATTGTGTTGCATTTCCCGTTCTAGGAAGCATGCTCACCTACCGAGTATTCGTGGGGAGAGGAAATGGAAAGGAAACAAGTTATAGGATGATAATATTGGCAGAGTCTGTTTTTATATTTATCCCAGGGGGTAAGGAGGTGGCTTCACTCATTCCTATTGGTGCATATGCAGCAACTTCATTTTTTAGAGCATTTTTAGATTTAGACAACTATTGCTCAGAAAATAGAGTTCCCATACCCACCCCGAGAGAGGGTATGGGGGAATATCCATTATTAATATCTTACATTAGTGTTGTATAATTGTTATAATTTATTAAACAACATTTGATACAATATTAGCTAAACTCTAAAGTTCACATCAGGGTTGCCTCTTTGTGTTCATTCTGTAGATTCTTACAAGTATATAATAATATGTGTCTACCATTTATAGTATCACACAGAATAATTTCACTGCCCTAAAAATCCTCTGTGCTCAAACTATGCATCTGTCTTCCCACACATCCCAATCCTAGAAACTACTGGCCTTTTAATTTTCTCTTTGGTCTTGCCTCTTCCAGAAAGTTACATAGCGGAAATCATATACCATAAAGCCTTTTAAGACT